GAATACCCAAAACTAGCAGCTAGGAGGAGAAGACAGATTTACCACATTAAGGAATTACAGATATCTCCAGTGAGTGAGAGGGTCTCCAAAGAACCCAGAAATATGCTGTGAGAAGTGAGCCACCACTCAATATCTGGTATGACCAAAGGAAATAATAATCCCATCTCATCCCTGTAGGGGATGAAACCATAGCTGGGAGACTGGGTACTGAAGGTGAAATGCAAGTTGAGAAAACAAGGGGAACTGCTGACCACAGTCCTCTTCCACATCCAGGCTAAAGAAGAATACAGCTGGTAAAGGGAGAAGCTTTAACTTTACTAAGCTTCAGAGTTCGAACTATTACCCAGGACTCTAATTAATGAATGAAATTTTGTGTTCTGCTTTTTAACATAATGGTTACACAATAAAAAATAATTTTTTATTTAAAATTAATGAAAATAACACTTTCACACCATAGTAACAGATATTATGCAGTTATCAGCACAACAGAAGTTCTATAATTTTAACACAAACCTTCAAACCTTGACTTGCCGCTGACTGGTAACAATACTAGGGTAGATACTATTAACTCAAGCCTCACCAGTTAAATAAGAAACCAGACTCAAGAATGAAACTGGCATATGGGATAGCATATGGGCTAGCATATTATACTTGTTCCATCATGGTCTCATACAAGCTGCCCTAAGGAATATATTTATAAACCAGTTTTATAACAACTGATAAACTTTGAATCGAATATAGCTAAAAATTAAGAATCTTGCATTTTGTGAAAGTGCATCATATTGCTAAATAAAATTGGCTTTCATTTTTTCTTCTTTTTATGCTAATATCAAAGTATTAATTATTGGTTAAAAAAACAAAAAGCAACAAACAAAAGATAAAAACTAATAAGCAAAATAAGATTTGGCAACACTACCTCTGAACAGGACGCTCTTGATTACAGAGATGTAGTCTTCTGGCTCCTGATCAGTTGAGATCTCAAATATGCCTCTAGAGATATTCAGTAATTTATAGAGCTGATCTGAACTCTCTACTCCACACAGCAGAGTAACCACACTTTCTGGTGAATGCAGTACCTTTTCCAGAAACTGACATTTCTCTGGATTTAAGTCTTCAAGCAGGCTATCTGATAATATTAAAAGTTTACATCTGTAAGAGTTCAAACTCAGCAATTCCAAATGCAGAAGAGAGATATTCTCCAAGCGATATAACAAGATTGCTTCCCTTTTCACTATATGTAAAAAAACTTCCCTCAAGTATAGAGCCCATTCTTCAGCAGCTTCTTCATATATCATTAGGATGTCTTTTGTATTTTCTGTAAGAAGAGAAAAATAATGCATTAATTTTCTTATATTTCAAATGCTAACAGTAGGTTATATTTCTTAAAATGTTTAATATACTCTTTAGGGAATATATTAATTTCCTTATATCAGAGAACAATAATATAATTCATACTGTCCCATCATAATCATACAGGATTAAAATAATCCTTAGGGCGTAACCGAGTTCACAGTTCTGCAAGTCTACTCCGTACTCAATGGAAAAATAAGAGTCGAGGATGCTCAATAATCAAGCCATAAGTGAGAAGCCTTGTGATAGGTGCAAAGAATACTGGGATCAGGGCTGCTAACCAAAAGGTCAGCAGTTCAAATCTACCAGCCACTCTGTGGAAATCCTATGGGGCAGTTCTACTCTGTCCTATAGGGTCGCTATGAGTTGGAATCAACTGGACGGCAATGGGTTTGCTTTTTTTTTTTGCTTCTCATGACAGGTGGAAAGAATACTGGGATCAGCGGTGGCTGGACATACAAGCATGGCTCTGGAAGTAACTTCAAATTTCACCTAAATTGTGATATTAAGCTTCTTGTTTATTCTTCTGCTAAATGAAGGCTAAATATTAAAAGGTTAAAAATAAATAGTTCCTAGCATATAGGATTATTTTGAAAAGAAATGAAAGTACATGAAAGGACTTTAAAATCTTTACAGGTAAAGACAAGGAAATAAAGCCAGATTGCAGAATGTCTATCCCCGGATACTTAGCAAAATAAACAAAAATAACTTTTTAAAAAAGGAAAAGAAAAAAATCAATAGCAGAAACCAAATGGTTTGAGAGCCAAAATATTACCATTATCAAAGTAACAAATAAATTGGAAAAAGCAATAGCTAGATTAGACATAGATAATATTTTAATTTCCAGCCTAAAAAGTAAAGGTTGATATCTTCATAGTAAATACAAATAAAAATAGAAAGATTAAAGCAATTGGTGAGAATATGATCCATAAGATTGACAAAAAGAACCTACAATTTAAAAGACAGATTAAAAAATTTTAAAATATAATTTTAAAAATCCTTGAAATAAAGGAAGAAAAAGGAACCAGTAACATGGATCAACTGGACACAATTATGTTCCAATAAAAATTGTTAGAGAAACCATACGTTGATTAATTACCCTTGGCTTAATGATAACTATAAAACTTCTTTCATACATCCAGGAAGGAAAAGCAAGTCACCTACACGGAGAAGAATATTTGGCGGGTCTTAGATTTCTTCAGAGCAATCTCAAGGCCAGATTACAATAAAGACATATGAGAAAGTTCTTTCAAAAATAATTTTAGTGCAGAATATTTCACAGCAATGAAAAAATTAAACTACTCCTACATGCAACAACACAGGGAGCAAAATGAATAAATAAATAAATAAAAGGCACAAAAGAGTGTATACTGTATGATTGTGTTTATGTGAAGTTCAGAAATAGACAAAAATAAAACAAACAAAAACTGCTCCATTTTGATACAGCTGAGAAGAGTGGCTGTATTTGGCAGGAGGATTATTCACAGGGGGCAGGAAGGAACCTGCTAGTGTTCTGGAAATGATCTAGGTGGTGGTTACATAAATCACAAATATATATATAAATTCATAGATCTTTATGTCTGTCTCAGTCATCTAGCACTGCTCCAACAGAAATACCGCAAGTGGATGCCTTTAACAAAGAGAAGTTTATTCTCTCATAGTCCAGTAGGCTATAACTCCAAATTCAGGGCGTCAGCTCCAAGAGAAGCGTCTGGGAGAAGGTCCTGGTGATGGATCAGTCTTCCTTTGGTCTGGGAGCATCTCAGCACGGAAACGCTCTGCTCCTGGCACTGCTTTCTTGGTGGTGTGAGGTTCCCATGTGTCTCTGCTCGCTTCTCTCTTTTATATCTCAAAAGAGATTGCATTAAGACACTGATCTTGACAATCTCATCAGTATAACCTCATCACAGTGATAGAATTTACAACACGCCAGGAGATCACATATAATCTCATCATAGTGGTAGAGTTTACAACAAATAAGGAAATCACATCAGATAACACAATCATAAAATACTAGGAATCATGACCTAGCCAAGTTGCTACACACATTTTTTGGGGGACACAATTCAATCCATGACAATGTCTTAGATTGTATGTGTAAGTTATACCTCAATAAAAAAGTAAATTGAAGGAAAAGTATCAAAAGAACATTCCAGATGACAGTTGTCCAAGACGCCTAGAAACCAGTAAGGACTGACAACAGGTAAATGGAGCTTTTTCAGAAAAAAAGCCACAGGAAATACAGCAATTGTAAGATTATCAAATATGTTTGAAATTTTGAGAAAAATGCTAGTAATAGAGGTTTAACCGTTCTGATAGGTCATTTTGGAAAAGAAAAAAAAAAACTTAAAGATAAGTACTTTACAGCCTTTTGAAAGTAAAATAAAAAATACAGTAAATATTAAAACCAGAAAAACCAAGCAAACACAAATTGTAAGGTAAAGAAAACAGAATCATTATATACTATTTGGATCAATAGTGAAAATGTATATATATATAGAGAGAGAGAGAAAATAATAAAGTATAGATTTATTAATAATTTAAAAGTTGAAATTTAAACATACTGGTGAAAAAGGAGTCAGGTGTACTAAGATACCTAAATCCTTATCTAACATATTATATGAAACCAATAGGTAATAGCTAAAATCCGGAAATCCAGAAATGAAAATATAAACATGTTTTTTAGAAGTATGGAATAAAACAAAAAAATTTTGAAGGATTTAAAACTCATTCTAATGGGGAGTGGAATGGTGTTCGGGGAGGAGGAGAGCAGACAACTGCTGGTTTTCATTATAGATGTTTTATTATTGTTCTATATGAAAGTATAACTATAATAAAAATTTAAATAATGAAGAAGCAAACAAATAGAAGAGCAAAAGTAAAATAAAATGAAATGTAAAAAAAAAAATCTCTGGGAAAAAGCACAGTTGGTGAGTTGAATACATGCATCTATAGGACAAAGATGACTAAATACTGAGGGGACTATGATTGCACTACAGAATACAAATGTTAAAAACCTTGATGAATATACACAGCAAAACGTACACCAATTCAACTGTTTCTAAATATACAATTCAGTAACATTGATTACATTCTTTGAATTGTGCAAACATTCTCCCACTTCTTTTCTGAGTTGTTCCTCCCCCATTAAAATAAACTCACTGCCCCCTAAGGTTCCTATCTAATCTTTCGAGTTACTGTTGTTACTTCAGTCCAGTATAAATAGTTCTTAAAAGAGTGTAATGCTCAAGGCAGACATTTTTTACTAGTTTAGCTAAACTATTGTTTGGTTTTAAGAAGACTTCGGGGATATTTTTGATTTAAATTTTAAAGATTATCTCAGGGCAATAGTTTCAGGGGTTCGTCCAGCCTCCATGGCTCCAGAAAGCCTGGAGTACATGAGAATTTGAAATTCTGTTCTATGTTTTCCCTCTTTTGATAAGGATTCTTCTACAGAATCTTTGATCAAAATATTTGGTAATGGTAGCTGGGCATCATCCAGTTCTCCTGGTCACAGGGCAAAGGAGGCAGTCATTCATGAAGATAATTTGCCACACGTTCCATTTCCTCCTCATATTCCTGATTCTTCCTCTTCTTCTGTTGCTCCAGGCAAACAGAGAGCAATTGTCATGCCTTGGGTGGCCACTTAAAAGCTTTTAAGAACCCAGGCATTAAGTAAGGAACTAACAGGTAGAAGAGGAGCACTAACCACGTTACAGGCATACCTCCGAAATATTGTGGGTTTGGTTCCAGACCACCAGTAAATACTGCAATAAAGCAAGTCACACAAATTTTTTGGTTTCCCAGTGCATATAAAAGTTATGTTAAGTGTTATATTATAGCCTATTAAGTGTCCAATAGCATTATGTGTAAAAAATAATGTAATACCTTAATTAAAAAATGCTTTCTTATTAAAAAATGCTAACCATCAACCAAGCCTTCAGTGAGTAGTAATATTTTGTTTGGTGGAGGGTCCTGCCTCCATGTTGATGGCTGCTGATTGATCAGGGTGGTGGTTGATGAAGGTTGGGGTGGCTGTGGCCATTTCTTAAAATAAAAGAACAGTGACGTTTGTCACATCGATTGACTTTTCCTTTCACCAAAAATTTCTCTACAGCATGCAATGCCATTTGATAGCACTTTACCCACAGTAGAATTTCTTTCAAAATTGGAGTCAATCCTCTCAAACCCTGCCTCTGTTTTATCAACTAAGTTTATGTAATATTCTATATCTTTGTTGTTATTTCAACAGTGTTCACAGCATCTTCACAAAGAATAGATTCCATCTCAAGAAACCACTTTCTTTGCTCATCCATAAGGAGCAACTCTTCATCCGTTACATTTCATTATGAGACTGCAGCAATTCAGTCACATCTTCAGGCTTCACTTTTAATTTCAGTTCAATTGCTATTTCCACCACATCTGCAGTTACTTCCTCCACTGAAGCACTGAACCCCTCAAAGTCATCCATGAGGGCTGGAATCAACTTCTTCCAAATCCTGTTAATGCTGATATTTTGACCTCCTCCCATGAATCATGACTGGATTAATGGCATGAATTACTAATGGCATCTAGAATGGAGAATCCTTTCCAGAAGGCTTTCAGTTTACTTTGCCCAGATCCATCAGAGGAATCACTATCTATGACAGCCATAGCATTACAAAATGTATTTCTTAAATAATAAGTCTCGGAAGTCGAAATTACCCAGTGCATTGTCAATGAGAGCAATATTTTGAAAAGAATCTTTTTTTCTGAGTAGATCTCAACAGTGTGCTTAAAATATTCAGTAAACCATATTGTAAACAGATGTGCTGTCATCCAGGCTTTGTTGTTCCATTTATAGAGCATAGGCAGAGAAGATTCAGCATAATTCTTAAGGGCCCTTGGATTTTCAGAATGACAAATGAGCATTGGCTTCAACTTAAAGTCACCAGCTGCATTAGTCCCTAACAATAGAGTCAGCCT